TTTAACTGAGTGAGCCATCTACAGCACTTGGGACTAAGCCCTAGGCAAAAAAAGGGATTCTGGGGGAGGATGGAGAAACCGCTGTCCCCCTGAGTTTTTCCCCTCTAAAAGCTTAGTCCTAGTGCCACCCACCAGCGATTTTTAGATGCCCTGTTTTGAATGCCCCACTCCCTAAGAACATGTGCGCCCCCTCTCCATTCTTGTGGTTTTCCGTGATTATCCCAGGATTTCTAGGGCGGTCTTTCAGATGAATGACCTCTTTAGCATGCGCCGTCCACCATGCAGGTGCTAAGGTCTAGAAGGATGGAGCCATCAGCATTCGAGTGAGTGGGCTATTCCAATCCTGGTGATCGACTGCTCTGACAATCTCACGAAACCAGGGAGCCGTGGAGAAACAGAAGCGAATTGGGAGCGCTCCTAGCGCGGCTTCTTGCCCTTTAGGATCTCATCTGTGTACTCTACTGAACATTTACAACCGATAGTAGTTCAAAGTCAATGAAGAGTAATTAGTAGCTTGTTGATACCGTAACTTTCAGGCTAGAAAACATCATGGAGGTATAAAAGGCGGGAAGTGATGGGTGCATAGCAGCTGTACTCACCTCACTACTAACGCCATGGCCCTCACTGACACATATGGAACCTACGAGAAGGAAATGGAAAGAGCTTGCAACGATGGAAAAAAGGCAGCTGAACACTTTCAGAAGAACCTGCCTAAGATGATGAACGAAGTCCAACCATGGATGAAAGAAATGATGAAGGCTGTAGCAGACATGGTAAGTGGTCCTCGGTTGACACTTTGGGCTATTATCAGAGCTGAATGACCTTCTTTTTCAGAGTAAAGTGTCCGCACCCCAGCGGCTTGTCATCGAGGTGTTCGCTTGGTCGGGGGTATTGGTGTTGGCATGTTCCGTGGGATCTTTGCTCGGAGCTTACGTGCTCAGCTCAGTTTTCGCTGCCATGATCTCAAAATTCACCGCCTCCATACTTGCATATTTTGTCATTCCTATTGCAATTCATGCTTCTATTAAGCATGTGAGTTTTTCACTATTCCAACTTTTTACATCTTACAGCGAGTTTTAGAGATAGCAAAGGAACACTAGGCTTAACACATCTATCACAAGCGCTGATGAACTACAGTATCCTTTGTTCGACCTACAGTATGCCCAAAAACCTCGAGGAGAGCGCCAAGCTATCTCCAGTGATAGCCAGCAAATGTCAGCGCCGATGGAACCCTGCCATTCTGTCAATTTGCCCACCGCAAGATGAAGGCGATTCTCAGAAAATGATACTGAATCACATGCTGTCGATTTTCGGCCTTATCAGCGTTATCGATTTCGCTTACCAGGTTATCGAACTCAAGCTACTTTCACCTGGTCTTTGCCAACGAGCAAACCGATGCTCGGTGCTTGAATGAATTTGATACAAAGATCCTTTACACAAATGATCGCTTTTTGGGAGGGTAGACAGGAATATTAGTTATGAAAGAAAGAGCTAGTGGTTGTTAGCTACTAGTAAGTGATCGTCTCCAGTTTTTGGTTTGTGAGCGTCCTGGATCACTACTCAATAGCATGCTTGCATGTGCGGTCGTAGAGCAGCGTCAGAGTTGATCGTACATGCTAAGGCGATTGGTCAATAATGAAAGAGATACGCATCGATCAGGCGATTAGGCGATTAAAAATTTTTGGCGAGTAGGCGATTAGGCGGTCGCTCAATGGTTAAGGCAAAAACAATGCGTATCCTTCTCTTATCGCCTACTCGCTGATGTTCATCGCTAACGCTGTGGTCGCCAACGTCTGAACGCTGCTTAACGATTGAGCAAAGTTGTGACATTGCTCGATTCTGCTTCTCAAATCTAGCAGATGGTCGAGAAAGAAAGACGGCTTGCGTATCGGATAAGGGGATTCCTTAAGACTAAGACTAGAACGGAAGGCAGAGCTCTCTGGGAAAATGAAATGGCTCATGCTTTTCTCTCCCCTGACTGCTGTACTTCTCCAACGAAGGTCTTCTACGAGTTTTGATCACTGTATACGAAGTGCCCCCGTATATTGCGATAGCGCCAGACGGCCTATTAACATCACATTTTGCCTTGCTTAGCTTGGAGCAGGATCTAGGTTTCAAAGGCCCGCCTTATGGCGCTGTATCGAAATCTACAGGGCACAAGTGCGCGAGGGCTCGGGACTCCTCTTTGTGGGGATTGAGCCTAGGAAATGGGGAGGAACCTACATAAAAATGGCATCCCATCCTCAGCCCATGGTCACTCCAGGCGGAGTGACACAGATTGAATGGGGCGGGAGTCTTAGGCTTCATTAGGCTCTTTGGTGTGATGCCCCTCATACACATCACGTAGTTTCCGGTGTGATGCGGCGTAGTCAGACGGAATTACGCAGCCAATTCTATCAGCGCTATGTCCTGTGTGTGTGGGGGCAACATCAAGTGGGCCAATTACTCGTGTTCGGGACGAGTATGACTACTGAGCGAGCATGTGAACATATTGTGTTCGCTCCTGCGTTTCTCCCCTCTGCTGGGCTCAGTCCTATCTCACCTACCATTGTCCCTGTTTTGGAGGCCCCCCTCATCCCCAAGGACACGAGTGCCTTCACCTGAACTGAGGATTTTAATTGCAGAAAGAAAGACAATTCCAAAGCGACAATAATATTCGAAGAATGATGATAGCGTCGACATTCGGGCAAGGCTTACTTATGGGATATACGATAAATCAACGTTACCTCAGCTCACAACCACTCGCTTTTATCACCCCCATAGCTGTTTCATTCGGATATGCCGTGAGTTTCCTATGGCTATTGGGACAAAATGTCACAATTTGTATAGGCCGACATTTTTCAGAACGTCTCCCAACGTGCTAGGGTGATCGTGAATGATTCTCTGTGCTTCACTCGGCTCTGCTGTAAGTGCGCATTTGGTGATCGGAGCACTGACTGGTCCAACTGGGCGCAGCTTACGAGTTTCTCGCTCTCGGTTATGTTGCGCTCTCCGGAATCACTATGCAGATGCTCTTCCACACTGCGCATTGGGTAGGTGAACAGCTTCACTTATTTATAAACAATGCATTTTCAGGGGTCTACTGTACCTAAGTTGGCATACCTCATCCGGGTGCTAACCTGCATTGGGGAAGGGGACGCGGCATTCCGCATCCTTCAGTGCAAAATGAAGAATCCTTGAGCCGGGGGAGTGTAGGCAGGTCAGGGGTGGGGTGAGTCACTGGGCATGTGTGAAAACAGGAATGTGAGAGCTTGCGGTACTTCGACAAGAAGGCGCGAACATGTCGCGCGCCGCTCACCCTCCTCCCCCATCTAAGTAGACTTTCGTCTGGTACTTTGAAAGAAGGGTTGAACATTTCAAACTCTAGGGCTGTTTTCGAAACGCCCCTGGCGCGCGATCTGTCAGGGCGCCTGGCCTTCTAGATGAAGGCCCTCCAGGGTCGTTCCACCCCCGTCACACGGCACCATCAGATCTACCACCGGTCTCACCACCGGTTCCCGGAAGCTGATAACCAAAAATTCGGGGGAGTTCGTTCGGTGACCTCAGCTGCAAGAAAACACACACAAATCACCGCTATGACTCCAAGTGTAACCGTGGCTTGTGGCCGATTTTGGATATAAGACCCCTCTTTTTTGAAATCCGCCGATTGATGGCATATGCTGTGAGGGTGGATCACCTTCGAGTGTTTCTCGTTATAAGGTCAATTTTGCCTGGGTGGGGGAAGTAGGCCACTTAGTACCACCAAAAGCAGCGACGGCATTATTGACACATTCAACCGCCACAAGGTTCTGGAAATAGTTGGAGGGAGATGTGGGAGGGGGTGGGGAAGGAAAGGGAGGTTGAGAAAGATAGATACGCTCGTCCTGACAGAAACCTCTCTGACACGTTGATAACTGATAAGCTTGGTTCAACCTGACACACTTACTGAACCGCCTCCACCCTTCTCCGTACCTATAAGAAATACGACCCACTTGTCTGAATCGACCAGGCATTCAAGTGGTCCTGCACCGAAGCAACGATACCGTGGGGTATTCCCCATTCCGCATGTAAGGAAAGGCTCGGGCCAATTTATCTACAGTTTCATCTATAAGACTGTAAACAATGCTTTGTGTTTCAGACCCGAGGACACGCATTCCAAAACCTACACAACGCCTTCTACGCCCTTTTCAAAGGAATGACATTCTACTGCTTCGGAACTTACATCGAATAGCCACATGAATTAGTTCCACGCTAACTGACCTATATAAAGAATTCACGACCCAATGAAGATCTTTTCTTTTCGTCAGTGTCAGAATAAAGCGCTCTGTTCTGTGAGCGACGGTTCAACTATTTGCTCAGAGCTTCTATTGCTCATTCCTTCAAAAGAAGCTCAGAAAAGCCCAGCAGAGTAGGGTTATATCAGAAGAGTTCAATATGAGAAATAGCATAAAAAGACTTGGCAGAGCAGAAGAGGGCAGGAGAAAGGGAGGGACTTGTCACTTGGAAGCCTTTGGAAAGAAGAAGATTGTATTATTTGTCAGCGGTCTTCCCAGGTTGCTCCTTCTTAGAAGCCTTCTTGCTTGGAACGTAACTGGGTACTATATGTTAGGTGTGCAGCACAGCACTAGACCACCAGGACTACATGAGAACGACAGGTGTGTTAATGCTTGCTTGCGCAGCGTCAGACATTCTCGTCTTCATAAGCACTGGTGCCGTGATGCCATGGCGTGCCACACTGTCCCACAAGAACTCAAAAATGAGAACCCGGAATGAAGTCATCATATAAAAACCGAAAAATATAAACGGAGACTTAGAATTCCANAGTGCTAAAGTGAATGTCGAAGATTTTTTTCTTGATTTTTCCAAGAAATACGGTAGGTATACCCCCCCCCCCCCATAACCCTTGTTTAGTTCATTCTACTCATTCTATTCCCTATTTATTGCTGAAAAAGTCTATAAATGAAGTTAACTGAAGAAAGTTCCGTAAAGTTCCATAAATTGATTATTGAAACCAGTCGGCACGTCCAACTCCGCCCACTTTCCGGGATGGGGGGGAAGTCATAAATTCTTATTCTGAAACGGCAAATCCACCCTACTTTGGTAAAACCTTAGTCAAACCCAACCAGTCCTCCAGAACTCGAATTCGACGACCCATTCCCAAAGCTGCTTCAGCCTGCTGAAACCCAAAATACGACCCCCTTCCCCAAAAACACAAAGGCGTTCTCCTTGTTTGAACAGTGGGAAAGGAGGTTGACCCTGCTCCGTAGCACTATTTGGGAAAGTTTTTCCTGAGAATCTAACTGTGATCTGTTTTTTGATGCCATCGGATTAATTCAATAGTAGATTGTTGATCGCACTGTATTCACTTAGTATTCACATAAACAGCTTAACTGTAAAACTGTAGAACAGAAAATACATATAAAGCAGAACATCGCAGTCCCCCGGGCCGTAGGCATGGTCCAAATCGTGTTCTCCAAAAGTAATGAAATTTCTACCATTTGATTTATATGAGCTCAAAGAGGCCCAGTAAAAGTTGGTAGTGAAATTTTCACGGGTACTTCATCTACACAATATTTTGTGAGCATCAGCTGATGTTCCAACTGCTTGGGTGGCTCTGTTCCCATTCAATTCCGTTGAGGTTTGTAAGCAGGTCAACCGTCACGTTAGACCGAGTTCGAAAATTATACGCCCCCTCCCCTTTCTAGAAGGCCTCGATACGCTTCCCCCCTCAGGGTCAACCCTTCACCACCCTGGCCTGTCATCACTTCCCTTCTTGTAACTCTAACGTTACCTCGCGAAATACGAACCCCCCTACCCATCGTTAGACTTTGTCCAACGCACGGTTGACCCTGGTTGTAGGCTTGATTGGCTTGGGCGAGATCCGATCTCACATACCACCCCTAGCCTACGACGAGTGCTTAGCAGTGCCACATTGAACCCCACCTTATCAACGTCTCGTTCTAGGTTCTTTCAGCTGGGTTTGGGGAATCATTTCAACTATCGGAGACAGTGGTATAAATAACATGGGACAAAGCTCAGGAGTAAATCGGAGAAGCACAGCTCCCAGTTTTTGCCCAGTTCTTTGCTCCCACGTTGAGCAGTCAGAACAGTCTGAAGGACAGTACCTTTTGTAATATTCACCTGGACCATTGCCAATTTCTTGTATTAGCTAGCATCCTGTGATACGAAGAGAGAAAGGTGGATGGTGCTACCGAAAACTTGTCCGCAACACTTTCCCATTTCTCCTGAATTGAATTTTTCTGACAGAAAAATTATGTGATATTTACAAATTTTAGATTTTCATCATCCTCTGCACATTAAAGAATGGTGAGTAAATGTCTTTCGTTATTATAAATGAAATTATGCTTTCAAAATGGCCATTCATATTTGTGATAGGGTGACTAGCATAGAGTGATCGATCGCGCCGCGACCGCACGCGTCCCTTCAGGCAGAATGCTGCCATTGAAGGGGCTGTATTCCTGAAAATGGCTTCTATTCCTTTCTGGTTATACTGAAGAAGAAATATGCATGGCTGGCCAAAATAATTGCTTTCAGCGCTATCGCAGGATATGGGGACATTATAGTGGCGAAGCGCTGAAAACTGCGTAAAACAGCCCCTTTTTGTTCAAAACGACGCTGAGCCCTAGGCAAGGGAGGAGAGGCTTCATAGTGAACATATTTCAATTATCCTTCAGGCTCCTACCCCTCCCAGGCTTAATCCTAGAGGATGCCCCCATATCTTGCTATAGCGCTTTACTTTCTGCAGTTTTTTACAAGTAAAGT